CCTGCGGTTCCAGAACCCAGTCGGGAGGAACTCATGGCTTTCAGGGATGAACTCATGAATGGCCCACCGGCTCAGCGGGAGGTTGCTCCGCCGCAAGAGCAGCAAGTTGCCCCGGCTCAAGAGCAGCAGCAGGTTCTCCAGGCTCAGGAGCAGATTGCCCCGGCTCAAGAGCAACAGGAAAACCATGATCCGAATCCGATTGCCGGGTTGGACTTCAACCCGGACCAAGTCATGAGCGGCCAGGGTCTACAAGGCAACCCGCCCGGTCAGGGCTTCCAAATCAACATCAATGACTTCATGGACGAACAGATGAACTTGGACGGCTTCGACGCGGCGCAGATGGAGAGCCCTGAGAATTACTACCAGTTCATGAACAACGACGTCTTCGGCGGTGAGCCTATCGGTGTTGAGGCCATCGACGACCCATTTGCTGAGCAGGCGGCGGAGCAGCCAGTTGGTCAACCAGCAGCACAGCCGTTTGAGGACAACGCCAACCACCAACAAGAGCAGCAGCAGAAGAATGGTCCCGAGGAAGAGGAAGATCTTATGGATTTGTTCGTCAACAACGGCGACGATGAGGGTCATGAGGATTTTGACAACGAGGATCGAGAGGAGGAGGTTGATGATGATGATCTCTTTGGAGACAGTTTCGTTGAAGAACATGCCACGGAGGCGGTCAATGGCTACGAAAACACTCCTAACAAGCGCAAGAGGGATGATGATGGCCATCAACAGGGTGAGCAGTCTGCCCGGAGGACTCGTATGGATTGAGTCGGAGGATTACGCACGGGTCATGGGACAACATGATGAATAAAGGATGATGGATAATGGATGATGGACGATGGATAATGACATGAAAGACTCGGGAATTGGGAAGGTGGATTGATGACAACGGTTATGGGAGTCACACAATGAATGACATTACTACTTGGGAATTGGAACGGAACCTGTAAGACAGAAAGAAGAATCTGTCATTGTTGGAGTCATGTAAAGGGGAAATCAGGGATCACGGGTAACATTAGGGCATGATGGCATAAAATGCTACCCTCGGTCATACCGTAGATAGAAGTTGTTTGCAATGATGATATGTTGCATACACTGAAGTGGTCCTTTTGACTTATGTGAATGTGACTACGTGAAATGATTATATCACATGTAATGACTTGGAGAGTTAGTTGCTGAATGCTATAAATATTACGACGCCCAACACCCTATGTGTGTGCATTCGACGAGTGTTACAATCTTTTTGCCCTTGACAAAGTGAGAACTGACGGGAACCTGGAACCTTGGTCGTCAAATTAAGGTTTGGCCATTGTGGAACGCATGTCTAAGTGTTAGTGCACGGCCCCGCGTTTGCACGTTATTATTCTTGGGCACTAACAGTCGAACATGGACAGACCCACGTCCCTGCCGGGGTCAGGGGCTTGCAGTGGAAAGGCCGGTGGACTGTGCGAGTTGACGATGCCATCCATTATTCGAATTGTTCTAGCAAGCTAGGTACTAACATGGCGCACTCAGGCTAACCACACGAACAACTCTTACAACTTCACACTTCGATATCAGCAGACAGGCCTGTTTTGTTTTCTGTCCAGAATGCTGCCCGGGAAGAAGCGGGGCAGGGCAGCGAGATGACAGCCGAGAGCCGATACCTATCAGGGTCCAAATTACGACTGTCCCGCAAGCCCTCCAGCTGATCGAGAAGGTTTGGGGCTAGGGGCATGAAATCTCGCGCGTCTCTGTTGAAGCGATCCAAACCTTGATGCTCAAACCGTATTGACTGCGGCACTATATGGGGAGACTCCTTATGTGGAATGTGGATGTCAAGCTTGGTGAAGTTGGCGGGGATGTGGGGGCTCCAGAGGGGGGATTCAGGCTTGGAGTTGTGGTGCGCACTGGACGAACGAATACACGACCATATTATCGGGACAGGATTGAAAGTATCGCTCCCCACTTTTTCAAGGGTCTTGTCATCTCGAAATGGCCGTTTGCTTTTTTTCGTGCTATTCTAGACTTTGGTTGAATTGGGTGAGGGCATGATGATTCTCAGGTTCTTGACTTTTTCCATTCTTGCATTCATCACTCTTCTTAGCATCCCACTTTGTTTGCAGCATTCTGTCACGATTGGCTAAGCCTAGGTCGTTAAGAACTTAAGATCGAGCGCCGTGCTCCAAGGTTTTCCATCCACCGTTTATACGGGTTCGTACTGGAGGTAATCAGCCCCTGAATTCGGTTAGTAAAGTATACCTCTACTTATAGTAGAGCGCAGTGATACATGCAGTTATAGGGGGCTTCTGTGGCTTGGTGTAGCTCGAACAGCGGGGTTCAGGTTTCCATGGTAACAAACGGTCTACAGCTTTTTTTCAATGCCATTTTCTGTTCATCTTATTGCCCTACAGTATTTCATTCGCTCCTGGGTAGGCATATTCACAGAACCTCAAGGTCATTTAGTTATACCCTTCACCTTTTCTATTATGAACGTTGTGTTCAGGCGGTTTACTTGGTATCACTCGCGTCAGTCACAGTGGGGTCCAGTGCCTTCAGTAGGTATGGGTTCAGGTTTCCATGGCAACAAGCGGTCAGGGTCAGCATTATTCGTTCATCCCATCTTCCTCAATTGCAAAAGCGACCGTGAAGTGAAGGGAAGCGCGGCAGAAGCGCCGTATGTCATATCACGTGCACCGCAT